CAACTTATAATCACAAAAAAAAAAAATATTTATCAAACAGATCTTAAATAGTATTATAAATTCAATAGGATAGTTTCTTTTATTTTCTCAAGTAATTATCCCCTCCCGTCTTTCTAAAAAGCCAATGGTAACAAGGAGTTATCAAAGATGTTAGGTGTACTTTACTTAGGTTTGATTAAAAAATTTGTGTTTGGCCTCAATTATTTTTAAAATTTTTTTTTCTATTTCTTAATTATAATTACGTATTCTTCAAATAAAATAATATTACGCACGAATTTAAAACTTTTTATTAATTTTCAACCACACATTCTTCAATCAATCACTATTCCAAAATTTATAATACACCCAAAATTGGTGACAGAGAAAAAAAAAAAAATTGGACAAAGAAAATGATTGTCACGACGAATTATTCCTATGTGGGGTACAAAATCCTTGGAGGCTTGCGATGTTGTCGAGGAGGTAAGATTCAAAGTATATGCAAAGAATATAGCTTTTTGTCCTGATTTTCCACTCTTACCGTTTCCTCTTGTTCATACTCTTAAGGTGTGAAAGTTTTCATTTTCCTTGCATCCGTTTTCATTAATTCTAGATCACCTTGAACTGGAGAAACGATAAAAATTGGATACAAGAGTCAAATAAAAACCAATCAAACTTAAAACATTTACAAAAGCGAGTCAATTTATTCCGTTCACAAGGAATAAAGTGTTACCAACCTCATGAGATAGACTAGCGATGCCTACAAAATTAACACATAAGAGGCAAATTAAAATCTGATTGTAGATCATCTTGAAGTGCAAGAGTTCTAGCATACTTGGAAGGGAAGCAACCAAACCTCCACTTAGGACATGCAAGAGTTCCTTCAGCATCGTTGCGTCAATATATGGTGCTATTTACGTCATGGGTACCACCTGACTACCACCTAAAAACTTCTCCCCCCTCCCCATCCGAAGTCCAACATTTCATCAGGCTTTGATTTTCATTGATAACTTTCCTAGTACCACGGACATGTCAATCAAGAGCAGGGGCGGACGCAAGGGGTGTCCTGAGTCACGTGACCCCCAACTTCTGAGCTAACTCTTACGGCCAACATAGCAAATGTTACGACTTGTCAAAATAGACCGTTTCAAAGTAATATTTTGAAAATTTCCATAACATGTTTATTCAAAAAAAAAATCGACGAAATCGTAAGCTATATCGTAAACGTATCTAATGACCTAAAATATATCAAAAATAGTTAAAGATACGTCAAGTGTGAGTCTTAAAAGAACATCTAACTCGTCTTTTCTTCAAAAAATTTCAATTTTTTCATTAACGTTGATTATTTTTCGCAACAAATTTCTCAATATAATTTACAATCTTGAATGTAAAATTCGGATGTAAATTTACGTGGAGTATGATTTTTTTAGGTAAATTTTCGAATGTAAAATTCCTTACAATTTTTTTGAAAGTTTGATTATACCCCTAACTCAAAATCTTTGCTTCCGTCTCCAATTACGAGTTTGTAAACACTATTCACAAGGTGCAAATTGATAGATTAAAAAAAAGAAAAACTAATCGAAAATATTATATTATAATTTTCATGGGAATGTGAGGAATGCATCCACATGTCAATCTCTTGCCCATTGACCACGCAATAATACTATTTGTACAATTACGAATGACAATTTTGTTGATAATTTGTGTTGGCCAAAAAATATCGACCACAAAACTAACTTTTTATTAAAATTATTCAATGATAATATGTTAAATAATTATACACCAACCATGATTCTTGACCATGGGCGAGCGGTTGCTCCACTCGACTCGTTTCCAGACTGTAAGAATCTACCACCCTATCCTATCCGGGTGAGTTGGAGTAGGTTTTGATGTTGACTTTTGAGCGCATCGGTTGACTTTTCATTTACTATAAAACCATGAACCTTGTGAGGTTCTATACATTTTCCCATAAATATCCCCACAGTTTCACACTTCTTTCATCAACATTTTAGTGAACACGATTCGAGCTACTTTCATAAATAATAAAAAATTATAGACAATTTAGAGCATGTTCGTTTCTGATTAAAATTCAATTAAAATTGAAAATATGACCGTTATTGGGTCCCACGCGTCTAATAAAAGTCAACAATAACGACTAATTTTTCAATATTAATCCAATTTTAATCTCTACCGAACACGCCCTTAATATTTAACCCTTGTTTGAATCTATTTTTTAAAATTAAAATGAATTATTGAACAGTGATTTGACTCAATTTCAACCATATATTTTTTATAAAATCATATTACACAAAAATTCAAAACTTTTATTTATTTTTTAACTACACATTTTCCATCATAACTCTATTGTAAAATGCATTTTTTGAAAAAAAAAATGGGCAAGAAAATAAATAAAATAAATAAAAATATGGTTGATGGAGAAATCTAGGCAATAAAATAAAATTCGAGATTGAAAATGGATTTTTTATGGGTTAAAATTCTAAGGATATATCTTCATAAATTCAATGTATTGATAAACTCACTTTTCCAATTAAAATAGTAAAAGAGATAAAATTTCAAAATATTATATCTGTAACTAACTAACAGTTAAAAAGATAATTCAAGAATATTATCTAAATTTTAGTATGTGGTAATAAAATTAAATATTTTCTTAAACTTAATTTATTGACAACAATTTCGTCTATAAATAATTTAATAAAAATATAAAATGAAGTGCTAATGTTAGAATATTATATCAATAATGAAATAACGATTGAGAAAAAAAAACATATTCGACTTTAGCATTTATAATTAGAAAAAAACATATATCTAAATTATCAAAGAAATATTCGGTAGCGTTTTTAGAAATGATTTTTTTTATTTTTTTTGGCAATAACATCAACTCTCTATTCACGTTCAGCAATCGTAGCACCATTAATGATTGTCGACGACATTTTAGTTGCAATCTTCGACGGAAGTGCATCGATGATAAATATTATATCAATGTTGATGATTTTGATAAATATTAATTTTTCAAATCACATACGATAATACCGTCGACGATCATCGAATTTTAGTATGTGTATATAATAATACAGTCGACAACCAACTAAATTTTAATATGTGATTATTTTCATCATTAAAATCGAAACTATGTTACAATTTTAACGTGGGAAGTTTGCAAAGTGGTCACAAACCTTTTTGGATTTTTTTTATAGATTTTATCTTAACCTTCAGTTTGTACCATTAGAGATCCTCGACACTCCCTATCCCCACCTACGACTACAAAAGTCAGTCATTACTGACCACTGCCGAAGAATTTGGGAGGTGGGGGTAGGTTAATTTTTTTATTTAATTTTTTAGTTTTAATTTAATTGTTTTAATTATTAATATGTGGTTGACAAAAATGCCCATGTTCAAATTGATCAAAATATTCAATTTTTTCATTTTTCAGGTCTACTATCGGTGGAACTCATGATTTCTATCATTTTGGATTCTCGATGCTAATTTTTCAAAAAATTGAGATTGTTGGTGGCACAAATTAAAGGATAAAGTAAAGTCTGCAAAAAATTAAAAAATTTGGGATCGCTACTGCAATTTTCCTTTTAACAATAATAAAATAAAATTATCTTCAGAATGATTTCAAATTAAATTAAAAATAAGAAAAAAAAATTAACTTTATTACTTTTTCTCATTTAACTTTAATAAACATGTCCACCTACCATGTTTCATTACTTTTTCTCATTTAACTTTAATAAACATGTCCACCTACCATTTTTCTATTCTAATGCACACTCACCCGTGGGGTTAGGTGGTGTTGGTAATATACGTTACGGATGATAGTAGCGTTTGAGTATGATTGTATTACATGTACATCATAATTTACAAATTAGTTTATCAATAGATAATTTTGCGAGATTTGATTAGGATAAAATCTCATAAAAAAAATCTACAATAAATATTTAGAAGATTTTGATATAAGTAAATGAAATGTGTGGTTGAAAAGTTATAAAACCCATACAATATGTGATTGAAATGAATTGTTGACCTTAACGTAGATTAAATTTTAATAGGTAACAAACTGGGGCTAGTATTCCACTTATTATTTAATGTCACATTGCAGTCATCTAGACTGAGTTGCAAACTCAATGAAACTAAATAACATTACTCTGAATGAGTAATGTTAAGTAACCCCACTGGGATTGCAACCTGAGTGTGCTAAAGACCCCAACTCCAATTTCGGTAGCTCTAGATGATAAGTCAAATGAAATGTGGAATTAAATGAGTAATTTGATTGTACTTATCATTTAATATTACATTGCGCCATTTAGATTGAAATTAAATAAGTCATTTGATTCCACTTATAATTTAATGACACATTATCGTCATCTAGAATGAAGTTGCAAACTCAGTAGAGCTAAATAAGTCAAATGAAAGGTAGAATTAAAAGAATAATTTGATTCTACTTATATCGTTTAAATGTTTAATGTTATATTGCCGTCGTCTAGACTGGGTTGAAAACTCAGTGTAGCTAAATAGCATTACTCATTCAGAGTAATATTATTTAGCCCAACTGAATTTGCAACCCTGATGTGAATCTAGATGATAGATCAAATAAAAGGTAGAATTAAACGAGTAATTTGATTGCACTTATTATTTAATGTCACATTATCGCCATTTAGATCGAAATTAAATGAGTGATTTGATTTCACTTATCATTTAATGTCACATTATCGTCGTCTAGACTGGAGTTACAAACCTGGCAGAGCTGAATATCGTTGCTCCTTTCGAATGAACAAACAGCCCACTTGCATTCAACTTCTGTATTTCCCTTGTTTTTTAATTATTAATAATAAAAAACTGTAATTATTCAGTTCAATTTTCCATTATTATAATAAAATTATATGTATTATTAAAATAATTGTGTACTTTTCAAACCTTGAAAACTTCGCTATAAGAACACAACCATATCTCCTTTATAATCTTGTTCCAGAAAAAAATAGAGAGATACAGAGAGGCTTGGAAAAATGGCACTACTTACAGACCTCATCAACCTTGACCTCTCCGACATCACAAAGAAGGTGATTGCTGAGTACATATGGTGAGTTTGCTTTACTTCATTAATGGGCTGTGTTGCTCTGTTTTTACTGTACATGTACTCTGTTTCATGAGATTTTTCTTTTTCTTCTTTTCTTAACTTCCAACCTTTTTTTTTCCTTTCTTTCTGGGACTTTTACTTCGATGATGTTCTTAGGTTTTTATTTATTAAGTTTGTTTGTCCTTTTTTTTGGGTTTCTCTCGTTTGAATCACCGTGAACTGTCTCTGTTTTTCGATCCCCTGTTTCTTGATGTTGTGATCTAGTGCTGTTTGAAAAATCTGCCTGATTTTGATTATGTTTTCTATTTTATCATTTATGAATCTTTGTTTGAGAGATCTTAACAGATTTTTTTGGCGTTTGTGGACCTTTTTTTCTCTGATCTGACTTTATCCGCACTCCTTATAACTTATTTTAACTTTTATAATCTTTGTTTCGTGTTATTTACATTGGATTCACTTGTTGTATTCATAATCTACCAAGTGGTTGAGACAGACAGATAGATCTGACGTATAAAAGATCTTTGTTTTCCTATTTTATTTTTGTAATAATTCCTTGATCGTTTCAATAATTTATTTTAGGTTTCAGATTATAATTGTTAGAATATTGTCACGTTTTTGTATTGTATAATACAAATAATTGATTCTATGTTGGTGTTAATGGGGATTCTTGTTAGTCTGATTCCTTATATTTGTGTGAATATAATTAACAGGATTGGTGGATCTGGTATGGATTTAAGAAGCAAAGCAAGGGTAATTAATTTTTCTTTCAAAAATAATTTATTTCTGTGTATGCAATGAAGATTTATATGTGCAAATGAGTTCCAAGATTGCTGACAAACACCTTTTGTTTTTTAACAGACTCTTTCCGGGCCGGTCGACCATCCCTCAAAGCTTCCAAAGTGGAACTATGATGGATCGAGCACAGGCCAGGCTCCTGGAGAAGACAGTGAAGTGATCCTATAGTATGTTTTTTTTTTCCTCGATTCGATCTTGTTACATAATCTTGACATTACATTTAGCCTATGTTTGGTATAGCTTAAAAGTTAATAAAAATCTAAGTCAAAGTCAACAAATTAATTTTGACCGCGCATTCCATGGGACCCACAACAACACATTTTGATCAAGTTTATCAAAATCTACTAAAAATCTGATATTTAGCAAAACCAAACATGGCGTAATATGATTTCGGGAAAATGTGTGGGTTTTAACTTTTTACTCATTCTATTACTGAATGAAACAGTCCTCAAACAATTTTCAAAGATCCATTCCGAAGGGGAAATAATATATTGGTAAGTTGCTTCTTACTATCATCGGTTATTTATTATGTCGTTTTTAATTTACTTGTATGTTTTAAATCATGCCTGACTTGACCATTTCTCTCCATTAGGTCATGTGCGATGCTTACACTCCGGCTGGTGACCCTATTCCAACGAACAAGCGGCACAGCGCAGCCAAGATTTTTAGCCATCCCGATGTTGAGGCTGAAGAACCATGGTATTAACTTATTGAGAATTTAATTGTGATTGGATTTTATTCAAATTTCTTTACATTTCCGGACTTCTGGTGTATTGAAATTTTATTTTTTGCATTTAAGGTACGGTATTGAGCAAGAGTACACCCTTTTGCAAAAGGACGTTAAGTGGCCCATTGGATGGCCCCAGGGAGGTTATCCTGGACCTCAGGTATGCAGAACTAGATAGGACTAACTGTATAGAGATCAAATAATTGGCCTTTCATTATCTTTCTTAACGGCGTCGAGTTCCATCCAAATATGTCACCAGTGTCGCGTATATCCTATATAATGGCGGGCTCTTCTTTCACATATATAGGGCCCTTACTACTGTGGAATTGGAGCTGACAAAGCTTTCGGACGTGACGTTGTAGACGCACATTACAAGGCATGCATTTATGCAGGAATTAACATAAGCGGCATCAATGGAGAAGTGATGCCCGGTCAGGTAAAATTTACCTTCCTTGAACATTTTCTGACTAGCTACTTAATCTGCCTTTTTCCCTTATCTTAATTTGAAATTGCTATTGCTATTCTCCTCCTATGCAGTGGGAATTCCAAGTTGGACCTTCTGTTGGCATCTTGGCTGGTGACGAGTTGTGGGTAGCTCGTTACATCCTGGAGGTATTCTGACATGCATTGTTGTAAACATCACTAGTTTTTCCGTAATTATTCATGAGCGAGGTTGTCTTAAACTATTTATTCACTGATTAACAGAGGATTACCGAGATTGCTGGGGTGGTAGTATCATTTGATCCCAAGCCAATCCAGGTAAAATTTTCAATCGTTGTATTTCTTCTGCTACACGTGCTAAAGTTTTTCATACAAGGAACTTGTATAATTTTGTCTTATTTGTGATATTTTGTTCATTACCAGGGTGACTGGAATGGAGCCGGTGCCCACACAAACTACAGGTATTTTTTTTTAACCTGTATATGATATGGGATTGCATTTTTATTGGAACCTGCGTCTCATCTCTTGGCAATTTTATTCGTTTAGCACCAAGTCTACGAGGAAAGAAGGCGGCTTTGAAGTCATCAAGAAGGCTATTGAAAAGCTTGGACATAGGCACAAGGAACATATTGCTGCATATGGCGAAGGCAATGAACGCCGTCTCACTGGAAGACATGAAACTGCTGATATAAACACATTCAAATGGGTAAGTTTCTACTTTCTCTCTTCAAATGTGCTGTGAAAAAACTAGTTACTTAAAAGCGGCTTTTACATTTCTTAAGCTTAACAAAGGATATGCTTACGAACACGAAGCTTAAGAGCATTTTTGGCTAATTTAAGTTGAAAGTAACTTTAACGAGTCTTGTTCTTTACAAATTTGAAGTTGTATATATGAGTTCTTATACTCCACACCTTTCGAATCATAATGTGCGATTTTTAAGAATTGTGAATTGACCATGTTATTTTCACATGGTTTTTCGACAGGGGGTTGCAGACCGTGGTGCATCAGTCCGTGTTGGTCGGGACACCGAGAAAGAAGGCAAGGGATACTTCGAGGATAGGAGGCCTGCTTCTAACATGGACCCATACACTGTCACCTCGATGATTGCAGAGACGACTATCCTCGGGAAGAAGTGACCCTTTGGGAGCCGGACACTATAAAGAGAGAATTCTATTACAAAACAACCCTTTCATCTGTGTTCTGTAGGGCAGATTAGCTTGCCATCATTCACTACTCTCCATTGCTATTTGCATTTGTATTGCAGTCTACAAGATTTGAATTCATTGCTCCTTTGAATTCTACCTGTTTAATTACATATTAATAACAATATATGAAGGGTTGGCTTTCGATGTTTGCAACTGAAATAATATCTAGTTCCTCGTTGGCTTTCAATAATATCGTCGATAATATAATTAATCAGCGAGATGCTTCGGTAGTTAGCGAAAGCCGTTATATGAAATTGTTCTTTACAAGTCAAAACAATTATGTTAGTATATCTTTTTTTATTTTTCTCTATAATATTACCAATTGATAAGTTACTAATTATGTGTTATTCTATCAACAAATTTTCGACAAGACGTCTACAAGGAGGTTGCCTTGCTTCAACATTTAAATAAATAAAAGGTTAACGCCCAAACAAATAAATAAATAAGGGCACGTTCTCTTTACTATTTTCAGTTTTTAATTTTCGAAAACACTGAAAACACGTTTATTTGTCTATTTTCAGAAACGAATTTTCAAAATAGATTTTAAAATCTACAAAGAAAACGGAAAACGCCAAAAAGTCGTTTTGGCTGTTTTTAGTTAAAATCAAGTCAAAACTTGATTTTTTTTTTATTTTTGAAAATAATTTTTCAAAATGACAAAAAGAACGCGTTTTCAAGAATCTCAAAATGAACGCTCAAAACACAAAATCCAAAATGAATTCAAAACTCAAAACTAAAAATTGAAACACGAAGAGAACAGCCCCAACATTCCAGCCTTTTCAAGAAAGCATTGCTCGAGTAGGCGGAATGTTGGCTTGATATATTTTTTCCTATTACTTCATTTATTGATTAAATTTTATCAATAAAATATTATTAAATTACACATAGTTTTAATATTACTAACTGAAATAACCGTTCGTAATCTTAAATTATTTTTAATTATTATTTAATTACCGACATAATTTTCACTGCAGGAAAATTGAGCATTTATGACGGCAATTTGCTACCGTAAAAGGTATATATGACGTTTTTCATGATTTTCCTAGTGTTGACAATAATATTGTAGTATTTGACGCGAAAATTATTGTTCTCATCCCAAGGTATATACATATTATTATAGAGTAATGTTATTCATCTTCAGTGGGGATGAAAATACAGTCAACGTGATTTTAAATGATAGGTTAAATGAAAGGTGAAATAAAATGACTTATTTAATTTTACCTATCATTTAATGTCACATTGACGTCACGTAAACTGTGTTTTCATCCCCAATGAGAATTAATAGCATTACTCATTATTATAATTGATTTTTAGAACCTTTTGACAACAGTGATATTACCATCACAACTATTTTGTAGTAAATAACTGTTATATAATATTTTGCATTAAAAACAACGGGTAATTAACCATTGTGAATACGATAATATATTAATAGGACATGTTTTTGCCGTAGTTAATGTTGTAAGAGTAATGCTAGGGGTATATCACCATTCACACAATGGTTCACATAATTACACGTGGCAGTTGATCCAACCTTTAATTCAAATTTTATACTTACACATCAACAAGTGGATGACTGCCACATCTACATTATGTGAACCATTATGTCATGGTAATGTACCTCTAGCATTTTTCATGTTGTAATATAGCATAAAACTTTGTTACGTTCACGGTTAAAAATTCATTTATAATTTCAAAACCACTATTACAAAATTTTCAAAAAAATTTAATATCTTTCCTGAATAAGTAGGTCGTTCCGTGAAAACTAGCACGACAAAACTTCAACTTTGTCGATCGACAAAAGTTAAAAGAGAGTAAATGGTGTTATTTTAACAACCATGCTACATGGTCAGAATCAATGACAGAAAAGAAATAAAAAAACAGACTGATGTGACAATATTTCATTGAAGAATAGGAAAAAAAATCATAAAAATACACCATCGTTAGCTGCCACATCAGTTTTTTTGTTTCCATGTTTGTTCAGCATTATTGATCTTCTAAAATTGTATGTGCTAATGATCTTTGATCCATGAAAATTCATACTCTGTGAAACCCAAAAAAAAGAACTCGATCAGCGGTGGATTAGGGGGATTGTCGAACTGGTCAGGGTTCCTACCCATTAAAACTTTTCCTTTAGATATTTTTTATTTGTAAAAAAAAAATAATTTGAATTTTCTTTTTAATATCTTAGTGCAGCTTAATTTTTTTTTTAATTGAATCCAGATCCAACCCTAAACTCGATAGATAAATTCAAAATTTAGACAAATAACCCTCATATTCATAATACGTGAAATGACAAAAGTATATAGAGATGAAAGCAATACAAATTGATAGTGCTAAACCCGATCTTGACCTTGACTCAGCTTAAAGATGGGCCATAGTCCACTGTTGACATCGTCGGGCCGCATGGATGAACGCTACCTCGTGCCTTAAATCACATGTCCTCCCACTCGTCATACATGCCCCTAGAACACTATTTCAATTCAGACACTAAACTCCCCAGTCGCCTTAAGTTTCCCCTTAACTCAGTTAACACAATCCTAGTGCAAAAACAGGGAAGTTAAGTCCTTTTAGGGTTCCACCTCCACCCTCTATAAATACGCAATCCAACCCCATTATTCAAGTACGTTCTTTCATAGCATCCAGTATTAATTTCTCTTCAGCACCTGTCTGATTTAAGTATCGGAGGGACGACGAGGATACACATCGACGCCTTGTTTCAGGTATTGAAGATCGAATAGGGCGGAGCTTCTTCCATTCGACTCGGGTTTGCACAGGAACGAATTTCAGTAGCATCACAAATTAATATGCAGCTATCAGATTTTTTTTATTTTTTATTTTAATTCAGATGAGCTCTCTATATATTGAAATAAGAGATTATGGTTTATAAGTAATAAAATAATAGATAATAAAGTTAAACAAAGTTCAGGTTTCTTAAACTTATAGCAAGTTTTATTTTATTTTCTGAGACATTTGTTCACGTTTTTACTTACTTTGTAGCTAAGTAAAGCTCACTTATAAGTAAAGTTTTATAGAAGTTAGGTTTAACTTACAAGTAAAATTTCTTAATTATAGATAGAAAAGCAATTTATTATGGCGATTAAAAGTTATCTCAAAATAAGTAACTATTTATTCTTTCGTTTTCTGTGTCATGAAATGAAATCACTTGTTATAAGGACGTTTGGCTAGTCTTAAAAAATGTACTTATAAGTACTTTTTTTTTAATAAACTATTCTTTTTCAAGTTTTCCACTTTAACTTACTTGCAAAAAAATAACTTGTTAACTTAAATTAAGAGAAAAAGTAACATCTAGATATGAAATATGAATGGACAACGAAAAAGTAACTTCTACTTTAATTAAGCTTGGCCAAACATGCTTGTCCTTTATCAATTATAGCCAGTTTTAGTTATGTCAAGAATCTGGTGATACCCAAATTTATATTTCTACTGATTTTAGGCAAACCAACTTTTACCCCAAATCACTCAATCCCTGCGTACGTATACAAGCTGAAATCGTGAATGGAATTGTGCAATAATTGTTTTGAACATCATTCTTTGTAATTCACCTCGTAGATCGGCCGGAGAATCACCGGAAACAGTAAACTTGGAGGGAAAAGTCAGGTTTTTGTCTCTCTTCTCCTATTTTTCAGTTTTTTTTTTCCACATTGTTCATTGGCTGCCAGTAACTCTCCACCTTTCGCCGGTCACATTTTTTTCCTTTCACCTTGTATTCGCCGGCCATTTCTTTAACCCTGTTTTTATCCTATTTTCCACGCTATTCTGTAATTACTGTATATGAATTATGTATTTTCAGTAATTACGGTTTCAATAACCTATGAAATAGTTTTGTGACCTTCCCTTTTAGTAACTATGATATTGGAATGGCTTGAGTTGTTTATGAATTAAAATTAAGTTTAATAGATTAATTCTCAAGGAAATCCAAAAATTCCTACAAAGGAGGAGATAAGAACGAGGCTCTAATCAATGAGAGGTGCTGTGCACGGTGACATGATTTTGCTAAACTGCAGTTTGTTGAATTGTCTGAAGATGAAATTTCTTAAGGAGATGACTGGGATAAGTTAGTTAGGATATTTAAGATCATGACAGGATAGTACCAAGAAACAAATGAGAACCATGAAGAGAGAATTGTTACAGAACGACCCTTTTATCTGCTTACTGTAGGGTGCTTTGTCTTGTTTTCATTTGGTGTTATGTATCATTATTAGCCTCGTATCTCTGTCTGCAAGGTTGACTTTATTGCTGTTTGTATTTTGCACCTGTTCAGACATAGTTATTGTAAGAGTGTGAGGGGTTGGTTTTCAATGTTGGAAACTGAGGTTTATTATCAAGTGTTTTATGCTTTGGCTCTACGATAATTAATCTTCATTTTCTGCATTTTCTCTGGTAACATTGATTTTATTTCAATGACTTAATAGTAGTACAGTCGGATTTTAAAATTAAAAGGAAGACTCCAACTCCATGCATGAGGATAATTCGTATAATTAGATCCGCTTAGGCATTCGGCAGAACTAAATGAAGAGAATTAAAAAGAAATGGAATGAGCTCATTTCAATTTCAGGATATGCCTCTGTACCTTTATCAATGGGACCCAGTGAAGTGTCATTTCATATTGCCTTATGTTATGATTAAATATACCATGACTGGCAATGGAGTCTTGAAAGGCATCAGCAGTCAAGCTGTAAACCATAGTCTATCGGCGTAGAGAAGTCATTCCTGAACAAGATTTTAAATCAAGAGACTTTTACTGATTTTCGAAGTCATACTTGGTCGAAAAGAACTAGGAAGGTGATGAAATTGAGAGGGTTCAGACAGAGCCTCCATTTTCTGCTCCTTTTTTGTACTGTATAATCCTTCTATTCAGGGAATTATTTTTAACGAGAAGAATTATATAATGGACTGCTACATATCTATAGTAAAAAGACTGTCATCTGTTTCTGCTGTTATTACCTTGTAAAGATGATTTCAGCTCAACGAACTCGACCATTTGTCGAGTTGGCTGAGCTAACTATTTGACTATTTTGTCAAGTAACTAAGTTTGATGAGGAAGATACGTTACTCGAAGAAAGTTACATAACGTGTGGTATTCTTTCATTTCTGGCACTGTCATCTAGTAGCCATTGTCCTCAAATTGAACATCTCTCCAACCAGAATTGCATTTGGCAGCAGAAGTTAGTCGATGTTGTAATGTGTTCAGACTTAAAAGGTCTCATAGGATAATTCATTATAGAGAACAGCTTGGCTATTTTTCAAAAAAAATTCTTTTTCTCTCTGTCCCTTTTAAAGAAATTACTTTTTATTATTTTTTGATTTATTGCAATAAGAGGTTATGATTTATAAGCAAGAAAAATGTAATTTGTAAAGTCAAACAAAGATCATGTTTTTAAAACTATAAGTAGTTTTATTTTTTATTAGCTTATATTTGTTTATGTTTGACTAACTTTATAACTAAGTAATGCTTGTAAGTAAAGTTTGAAAAAGGGTATTTTGAGTTGTAAGTAATTTTTTCTTATATATAAATAGAAAAGTTATTTATTAAGAGCTTGTTTGGTTGTGCTAAAAAATAAGTCAAACTTACTTTGAAGTTAATTGTTTTGTTAAAAATATTTTTCGAAGTTAATTTTTTTTAGTATACAAAACTTACCCTTTTAAGCCCAACCAAACGTGCTCTTTGACAGTCGAAAGGGATATTGTCAAAATATGTAACTTGAATTCCTTGTTAATTTGACTAAATCACAATTCACCTTTACCATTAAGCTAGTTTAACATGTCAAGAATCAGGTGGCATCTATATTAAGCTGTTCCTATTTATTTTTGGCGACTACTCGATTTGCACCCTAAGCAAATCGATCCTCGCTTGTGTATACAATCTGAAACCCTGAAAATAAGAATTATTTTCAACACTATTCTTTGTGATAGCCGCTGTAGATCTGATTGAATCTCCGGAAATCCAGGTCTTCTTCTCTCTTCATCTCCTTTTCAGTTTTTTCCCATACTTTCACCATTTAGCTGCCGTTATTTACTCGCTGCGGGCCAGAATTTTTTTGTTTACTCACTTTCCTCCAAATCATCAGCCAGAAGTTTTCCTATGTCCTTAACTTTGACGGCTGTGTTTTACAACTCTGTTTTGGCCTTTTCGCCAGCCAAATACTGTTATTGCTTTGCCTAATCAATGAACTACCATGCTTTTAGCCTTTCTAATGTGTTGTTTTTCATGCTTTTCAGTAATTACAGTATATGAATTTTTTAATAATTGAGTAATTACAATTTCAAGTTTTCAACAATCTAGGAAATATTTTCATGATTTGCTTTGATGAATATTTTTATGTATGCTTTTGTATAAAATTCAACTGTTCTTTAACTGGATGTGTATAATTGCAAACCAATTATGCATCATATGACAGATAATTGTAATTGAACAGGATAATCATGATATTGGAATTGTTTGAGTTTTTAATTAATTAGTAAATTAATCGAAACAGATGGATGCTGATGGAACATCTCAAAATCTGAACAAAAACTCTGCAAGGTGGGATGAGTTTGCTAAACTTAAGTTTGTTGAATTGTGTGAAGAAGAGATTTCCAAAGGAAATCGACCTCGAACCTACTTATCAAAGGATGGATGGGATAATTTAGTTAGAAGATTTAAGATCATGACTGGCAGGAGCTATAACAAGAAACAAATGAGAAATCATTGGGATTCAATAAAATTGGAGTGGTGTCTTTTTAAAGATCTGATGCGAGGACAGACTGAAATTGGCTGGGACGAGGCAAGGAAAACAATTGTTGCTGATGACAAGTGGTGGGAAGAAAGGATTCAGGTATTATATGTGCGCGTACATTTTTCATTACATGTTATTTGTGTCTAAATTTGATATTTGTGTAAACTCTTTTATATAGGTGAACGAGAAATTCAAAAGATTCAGAAATAGAGATTTATCTTTAATATGTAGATACGACGTCCTATTTTCTGACGTTGTAGATACTGGAGCTAGGCCACGTACACCCAATGGTCGGTTTTATGTAGGGGGACCGAAGAAAGAGGCTGTATATGATGAAGTTGAAGGTAGTGGTAATAATGACGAGTGCTTAAAGTTGATAGTAGCCGGGCAATCAAGGGAAAATCCTGAAAACTACATGCTTCCTGCAGCCGGGCAATCAAGGGAAATTCATGAAAATTGCATGCTTCCAGCAGCTGGGCAGTCAAGGGAAAATCCTGAAAATATCATATTTCCCTTAGCAGGGCAATCAAGGGAAAATCATGAAAATTGTGTATTTCCCTTAGCAGGGCAATCAAGAGAAAATCGTGAAAATTACATGTTACCATCTTCCTCGTTTGCAAAAAGAAAATCAAGCATCAGGTCAGAAACAAGGAAATCGACGTCTTCCTCATTACGGGATGACATTGAGAACCTCGCGAATTTGATCTCTGCCAAAATTAGTGGTGCTGGACCCTCCATCGAGGAATGCTTGGGCTTACTACGCAAGATTGATGGACTTGCCATCGGAAGTCCAACATATTTCTACGCTTGCAACTTCCTTTGTAACAAAGAAAATAGGGAAATGTTTGTTGCAATTGGAGATGCTACAGCACGATACAATTGGATTATGTATAACTATAGTATCTCGAAATCAAACAATCCAGGGTTGCCATGATCTAGTTCACCGTTAAGTTTTGAATATTTTCAGACATGTTGATCGATATTTCGATGAATAGTCCATGTAACTTCAACAGATTGAGACTTATTTATGTTGTATGAATTATGTAAGCTTTCTTGAAATCTATCTTATTACTTTATTTTTTTGTTTGTTACGATGTTTAAATTTTGTTCTAAGATAAGATGAAATGTAAGCATTTGTAGCTTTAATTCAAGAAATGATGATAATATAGAAGAAAATTGTACTCTCTATATCGAACAAGTCCAACTCTTTGGTCCCATGATTTTCCTAAAAGCAATTATTATCATGGAAAAAAAGTTGTGGTTGAACCAAAAAGAGCATGCTTATGAAGTGGACAAGTTTAACTTAAAGCTAATGTGCTTCTTAAGAGTCAATTTTCTAGTGATTGCTAACTTTTTCAAAGTGGAAAAATAGGCAAATCACAAGTCATTAAAGCATCGTGCACAACTTCACGGGATAGGAAAAACAAATTAAATATCGCAGTAATGGTAGAGTCAACTACATAACAATTTTTGTCGCTCAATACAAAAAGTTTATTCGAATTACTGAGAAAGAACGTTTCAATGAAAATTATGTATAGATTGATTATGTTATATTGTGATAATAACCGATTATTTTACTTCGATTTCGATCAAAATTGATATTGGAGATGTAAGAGGCCAATCCACATACTCCTAACTATTTTCGTCAGTATATATCTATTAAATATTACAAAAATAACATATTTCTATATATGAACCTTTAATTTAAAAAAATTACATGTACTTGTAAATTAGATATTAAACAGTTTTATTACATAAAATAAATATTAGTATTCTCATTATCTAATTTTAAGTCTATAATATATATCGATATATAAATTTTCATTTAAAGTATTTTTTTTAAAAATTAAAATCGCATATTAGAAAATGTAAAACTTATTATAAATAAATAATTGCTATGAATATATTTTTAAATTCAGCGAAATGACTTGTTTATACACGTTCGCAGATTCAAAAAAAATTTAATTGTGTCTATTTTGAGAAGTAATTTTGTAAAAAGTGATTATTTTGAGAATGTGTAGTTAAAAAGTAGGAAAAATTATAAATTCAGTTACAAAATAATTTTATTGGGAAAATATGATTGAAAATGAATTTGAAAAAAAAATTAATTAAAAAAAATCACTAGCTTAATGTCAACATAAGGATAAAATTAAGCCCATGTTTGGTTTGGATTAATATCCAATTAAAATCTCAAGTCAAAATTAACTTAATTTTAACCGTATGTTTCATGGGATCCACGACTTTTCAACCACACATTTCATTATTTTTTATCGAAATCTAATAAAAATCTGATTTTAATATCTAAGAAACCGGGGGCTAAGAGAGAACAATTCAACCAAAGAGTCTAATCTCAAAACCTTGTATATACATAATTGGTGGCAAAATTTAACATGGCACGCGTATGGTGCCAATGTATATATACATATTTGCTTAGTATATATGTATTGCATTAAAAGGCATTTATATTGTCCATTTATACTAATTTGCTACAATCGGCTGCACCAAATCCGACTTTTCGACCAACGAGATCAAATTCTACCCATCGATTTTGTTGATGATAATTGCCAAAAATGTTACTCGAAGTACCAAGCAGTGATGACCGTCCGATCGCTATGCAGTGGACCCCACCTCCAACGTCATCCAAAACCCTCTCCTTATTTATCAAAATATCTATACCATTTTCAAATTGAAAAACCATGTCGCCAATCAACCTTCCGATCTCAATAGGGTTTCCATCAAAGCACATATCCAACGATCCTCCATGCATGTACCCTCGCTTTAGTCTTCGACCCGTCACCCTCACAACCTCTTCTCTTACCTGTTAAGGTAGAATCACACATCGTTTAAAATTCAAAAAGAATATTTAACTGATAAAGGATTGAGGTAATCTTCTTAACAAAGTTGAAGTTTTAAATAGAAACTTATAATTAAGACGATATTAGGGTCCACGAATCTCGACCGTTTGGTCAAATTTCAATATTGAAGTTTTAAGCGAGCTACCATCGTGAAAGTATGTTAAGGGTAAAATTCTAGTTTCCTATTAATTTGAAAAAAAATAATAATAATAATTAACATATAATAGCTTTTACCTTAGAGTATGCCTCATCCACTAAAAAAGTGTATTGGGTGCCAGAGTCAATCATCGTCTGGCCTGAACCGCCAGAATCCGGCCGGAAAACCGATACAGGTATGTTCAGTTTCTTTCCGCCGATCATTATCCCCGTCATGGGAAGAGTATAGGCCAAAGGATCGAAATTTGGCATGCTTTGAATTTGAGGGAAGGACAGAAGATTGACATACTTAAATGAATGTGAATTTGGATTCTGTCCGAGGTAAAATGTTCCAGTCGGTGTAATCCTAGGAGTTCCTTGTCGGAGTGGCACGCAGTAAGAGAATTTTGAGATTTTAGCTTGGGAGGGAAACGATAGCCGCCCCAGATTCATTCCCAGAATACCCTGAGCCTCGCTGGAGCTGGTGGCGCAACCAACAACCAATGGAGGGGTAATTTGGGAAGGTGACAATTTGAATTTATCTGTGACAAGATTACCCTCAGCTAAAGTCCCATCAGCATAGAAGTAAGAGTAGTGGCATAAATTTTTCACACAAGAAGTTGGGAGGGTAAAATCGGGATTTCGTGGCATGCAAAGTGGGCTGTTGCATGGGAGGTTAGAGAAAGAAGAAGAGAGAGAAGGATCAAACGACACCGTTGGAGGCTTTCTTGGTAACTTTCTTTGGCATTGAATCCATGAAAGTTGGCTGCCTGTGTCCAACACCATTGGTAGAGTCTGTGGTGGGGTCCCAATTGGGAGAGAAACAATCAGAGCCATTGAGTACCTGAATGATGACTTGTACTTGATCAACGGTGATGATGGGACAGCACCCTTTGATCTTTGATGGCCATGTCCTTTTGGTGATGACACGAGAGAAGAAGATTGAATCTCTCCTCGTGAAGGAGAAGTGTTGTGTGAGAGAGGGACGGAGGAGAGAGAAAAGGAGAGAGAAACCGAGTAGTTTTCACCCGTCGTGTTCTTCAGTGTCGCGTTTCTTGTTTCTATTTCTGTACAACCCAGATCGAAAAAACTCAAAAACACCAGACATAAAAGAAAGAGAGAATTGTAGAACGCCATGAAAGAGTTGTGCACATACACACACACAATCAAGGGGAGAGAGAGAGAGATAGAGGCCCTGGGGGTGGGGAGTGGAGGAGGTGTGGTTGTTTTATAGTGGGGTTGGCCGTGAAATGTTGGGGTGACCCTGGTTAGGGGTGGTTGGTATTTTATACAGCCAAAAAAATTGGGGATTTCTTACATTCCTATGATTGAGTGGTGTTTTGTAAGGTTTCTTAGACAGTTAAGGATACATCGACAAATGTTGTAAAGTGACTTGTGCTGGTACAGCATGTTTGTCTTATAAGCTAAGACTTAAAATATGTTAAGAT